CGTGTCACTCCATTAAAAAAATAAAATAACACAGAAGTACACAGAAGTACACACTGTTAAATCTTCTTACATTAAAGTGGAATCAAAAGACATATAACAGAGTAAATGTAGCTTGTTTTCCTCCTCTGCTAACATGGACTGGTATGAAATAAGTCACAGTTTTATTGCTGAACCAATCATTGACCCATTCAATTTGTTCAGAAATGCAGATTGATTAATCAATGAACACCACTGTTGAGTGGAGTCATGCACACCATGCTCAACAAATTGAAATATTATTGTAAACACATTTTTCATTAGCCTCATTTGGCATTACAACAAATAAATTATGCTTGACTTTTTTTTGTTTCCTGAGAGAATTTCATCTCTAGTGCTATGTCTATACATTTTTAACGATCACTGATGCTGATGAGTGGTGAAAAATCTGTGAAAAAACACAATTTTTGTTGAAGAGCCACTGATTTCCGATCACTGGTCAAAGCATTTGAATGTCAGAGGTAGACAGAAAGAAGATATGCTCTTTGTCTCAGAAGTCTGTCCTCTCTGGAGGAACATCAGATCTGCTTCATTCACTATTGTCCCAGCCAGAACAGAGCATTCAGTCCCGTTCCCCATCAGACCATGACTGCGCCTGCTTCCTCTCTCTTCATTAGCGAATCGGCCCGCTGTTATTATCACTTCATCGGCATCTGTTCCCTCACGTGTTCTTCCAGACGTAAGCGCAAAAGATAACAGTTGTGAATCATGTACAGTATAAGCCAAGGATGACAATTCATTTAACTGAACGTTGGACTATACAGTAGCTGTTTGTTCTTTACAGCATCTCATACTGTTCAATAACAACATCAGTTACTGCTGGCTAAAATATAAGTGGTTATTTGAGTTATTGGCTTTTTTGTAATGTGCTTTTCTGACATTATTGGTAATGATATATGTGCATATCATTCCAAATGAAGAAAACAATAATGTTTACACTATTTGGGCTAAGGGATTATGTTAAATAAAAGCTTTGATTTGCACTGCCTCCTTTTTGATTTAATGAAACAAAAACTTAGGGATTGTGGCAAATATATTGCACATAAAAGACTTCTTAAAGGGGGCATATTATGCAAAAATCGCTTTTATTGTGTGGCAACAGTGTTTGAATATAGCCTTTTATGGTAAAAAAAGAATTAATTATATTTTTTATAATCACACCTGATAAAAAACATTCTGCAGAGACACTTTGATTGACATTCTCCCTTTCTATGTGTCATGAGAGGGCGGAAGCCCCGCCCACTAGTGATGATCTCTCACTCATTAGCATACACACCCCTGAGTGAGAAGCAGTCATCCGCCAAGATTTGAAACTTCTGCTATGATGACACATAGGCGTTAAGATCCTCTCCCTCTTTTGAAAAGAGGACAAGAGCACAATCTCATTTGAATTTAAAGTGAAAGTCACCAAAAAATGAGACAATTTGGACCACAGCCTGAAAGTGGCAGTTTCAAAGAGTTTTAAAACATTATTGTGTGGTTATTTGAGCTGAAACTTTACATATACACTAGAGACATCTGAGACTTAGGCCCAATCCCAATTCTATTTTTGTACCCCTACCCCTTCCCTTTTCTCTTGACCCTTGAAACAGAGTGTGAAGGGGAAGGGCTTCAAAATGTTCACACCTGCACACGTCATCATATGCCATCGCGATCTCTTTATACATATGAGATCGACAATGGCGACTGCTGTTATTCCAGTTGTGTTATTTTTTTTGGTATTTGTCTTCAAGAAATCACTGCCATGCTGCCATTGTGGCTGGTGTATTCTGGGAAATTTTCTTACCCCTTGCTTTCGAGTGTGGTCCTGAAAAATCTCTGTTTCACGAGGTATCTAGCCCTTCCCCTTAGCACTACGTCTTCAAGCTAAAGAGATTTGGGACACCAATTAGGGGATAAGGAGAAGGGCTAAGGGGTAGAATTGAGGTTGGGCCTTATTTTACATCTTATAAAAAGTGGCATAATAGGTCACCTTAAATTGTGGCCATGATATCTTCTTTATTCTTTATAAGTCTCTATTAAAAATAAGTTGGCAATTTGTTTAGCTGATTAAAAAATACATATTCTATAACAATTCTAGTTTGTAAATCACTTTGCATAAAAACATCTGTTAAATTAATAAATGCAAATCTAGTGGTAACAAAACTGGAACACTAAACAATTAACAATTTAAACTTCTATTAAATTTTGGATAAGGATATGCACTGAGGGGACATTTGCAGAACATAATTGTTAACCTAAAGCCGAATACTTATGCATTTTTAACTACTTAATACATTTTTTCTTACACGTCCATATAACATGTCTGGCATGTAGGCATTTTAAAGTACTGGAGAAACCAAATATTGGCAAACCACACAGCCATACAGTATATGTGCATGTGGAGATATAATGATTCACTGAACTGAAGATTCAAATATTTCATATGGTTGTTTTTTACAAAATGGTTTTGCTGCAAATTTCTTTGTGAAGTTGAAATTTTACAAAACTATATTGAATTAAAAAAATAACTAATCATATGAGTAAGTTATACAAATAAAATAATCTTTTTAGAAGCAAAGTAAGTTTTGCCTTTGCTTTTTCTAAAATTAAAGGCAACCACTGTATTTTAATCATGTTTCCATCAGAGATTCCCATGCTTATTTCACGATCTGTTTGGCCTCTCAGTCACTTTGAATAATCATATTTTTAAATTGATTTTCAACTGGTAACGGTTTATTTTTATATTACATTGATTGCGTATCGATGGATTTGATCTTCAGTGTTTGGACTGTCAGCAGTGAATACTAAACCACGCTGAGCTGAACTAAACTGAACTTAACTTAAACTTGAACTGACACTATTCCTATTCACTATAATCTTCTACAGTATGTGAAGCTGCTTTGACACAATCTACATTGTAAAAGCACTATAGAAATATAGATGAATTGAATTGAATATTACCTATGTATGTGTAGTGTTCCTCTATAAAAGCCGTCTACTGGTCTGACATACATAATGCATTTTTTTGTCATTTTTGCAGATCCATGTGCACAGAGATCATTTTTAAAAATTTTTAAAGGTAAAACTTTTAATATGTACCTATTTAATGTGTAAGCATCCCCTGAAAAAAAGATGTATGTGCTGCTTTTTTTCTTGATTTATTCAGTATGTCACTATTTAACCTACAAATGTCCTCTATACTGCACTGATGAGGACAGATGTATTGAAACATGTCTAATTTTTTTTCTCCCTGTCTTTCGGCTTAAAAGGATTGAGATGATGTTCTTTCTCTATAAGAGACGCAGTGATGCGTGTAAAAAGAATATGCTCTGTTTCAAAGCAGCTCTTTGCTGAAAGTATTGTATGACTGAAATGTTGAGTTTAGATAATAGGTTTATCATGGTTATCTCAGATTTTTATGAGGATATAAAGAACATAAACTCAGACAAATGGCTGTTCAGTCATTATGCTAATTTACTCAGCAGAAAGGCTCAAATTTTAAATAGGTTCCATTTATGGGTTTTTAGAATAGTTTTTTTTTTTTTTACTGATTTTGGCTCATTTGCTTTTAAGGTATGAGTCTGTGGTATAGCAAAATATGCTAATTTTGTTTTAGCTTAACTTGTTTTCACATTTCTTGTTTTTTTTTTGTATAGCACGAATGGCTAATAACAGTATTAACAAGCTTCTAAAAAAGTTTGGACACCACAAGGGTGGTTGAAGTTGATATGCTTGATTAACATGCTCAATTTTAACAAATGTGTGTTTTTTTTCTTTTATTCATTAGTAAACATCTTTATTCTGCAGATTTGCTCTCACAACTTAAAAACTGTTAAAAATAAGACCTCAGGTTAACCGTTATGCAAAGGTTCTAGATGGAACACACATTACACTCATGTACTGTAGGCACAGATAGACAGATACACAGTCAAAAAAGTGTACTCATAGTTTGACTGTTGATGGTGGAGGTTGTCTCTCTCTCCCCAACATTAATTTCATAAATTTAACATAAATTTACTGTCCTATCATAATAATAATTTAAAAAAATATGAATCTAAAAAAGAAGAAAATACTATAATTAAAGAGACTTACACATTTTGTTCTAAAAAATATTGGTCAAGTTTGCAAATGAAGACCTCATACAGCACAAGTATATAAGTTTCGATGGGTGACAAATTAACTACTGTATGTCACATTTAGTTTCATAAATATTTGACCATGTTTATCTATATTCTGTAGTTTTTTTTTTTTTTTTTGCTAATAATTTATTACTAAAAAGCCCTGTGGGTAACATTAATCTAAGAAACTTATTTTGGAGCCATAAAACAGAGAGTAAATATATTTTCATAAAGCTTTTTTTCTATTGAATTTGTAAGGCTTGAGTTTTTAAATAAAAACGTGTAATTTACCTTAGTAATTCACATAAAAGTTAAATCAACATATTGTTTAAACTATGCTAATGCCAGTGTCTTCATAACTTTGCAGTCCAAAAAAAAAAAAAAAAAAAACTTTGTCATTACCATGGGAACATGCTTTTATATGCCTAAAAATATTTAATGAAGGGGCATGACTTTGTAAATTTGGTTAATCAAATCAGAGTTATCCAACCATGCTCCTGCAGAGTAAATAAACACACCTGAACCAGATAAAACAGAAACTGCAGGCCCCCCTGGTTTAAATTAACTTTATAGACCTAAAGTTTAACAGAACAAATCACAGAAGACATGTCTACATAAATTTGGTTCATCATATCAGAGGTGTCCAACCCTCCTCCAGCAGGGCCACTGAATCCTGTAGTTCCTAAGTTACTATAAGGCCTAATCCTGAACCAGATAATTCAGAGACGGTGGGACTTTAAATGAACGTGTCTTGTTTTATAGACCTAAACAAAAGTTTCACCGAGCAAGCAATTTTATGAGTGAATGAACTTGATGCAGTGAAAGCACAAAACATCTTAAGTAATTGACTGTGATTCTCCTTTCAGGAACTTCTACTACATCACCATGCTGCGAGACCCAGTGTCCCGCTACCTGAGCGAATGGAAGCACGTGCAGCGCGGAGCCACCTGGAAGACCTCGCTCCACATGTGCGACGGCCGTTCGCCCACACAGGACGAGCTGCCCACCTGCTACAACGGTGACGACTGGTCGGGGGTCACCCTACACGACTTCATGGACTGCCCTTCAAACCTTGCCAACAACAGGCAGGTGCGCATGCTGGCTGACCTCAGCCTGGTGGGTTGCTACAACCTCTCCACCATGAACGAGAGCGAGCGAAACCCCATTCTCCTAGCCAGCGCTAAGAGTAACCTCAAAAACATGGCTTTCTACGGCCTGACCGAGTTTCAACGCAAGACGCAGTACCTGTTCGAGCGCACTTTCCACCTGCGCTTCATTTCCGCCTTCACCCAGATCAACAGCACGCGGGCCGCTAATGTGGAGCTGCGGGACAACATGCGCAGCCGGATAGAGCAACTCAATATGCTGGATATGCAGCTGTATGAGTTCGCCAAAGACCTCTTTCTGCAGAGATATCAGTTCGTCCGACAGCGGGAGCGGCAGGAGGAGAGATTGAAGAGAAGAGAAGAGAGACGGTGGATTAGAGAGCGCAGAGTCAACCAGAGCAAAGAGCCCATTGTGGAAAACCAAACTAGGGTCACCACCACTGAGGACTACGCCAGCCAAGTGGTCCGTTGGTGATGCCACTTGAAAAAACAAAACAAACAAACAAGTACTGGAACATGGAGAGCGTAAACTCGAGGAAGAGGTGGACTCAGTTTAGTAGGCATACTTTGAGATATTTTTTGTTGTTGGTCCTCTTTAAATAAATACACCATCAAACAGACAACAAATAAATAAAAAACTAAACATTTTAATTTAAATAACTGTCTTAAGCAGTATTTTTGTCATGGTTTTCAGTAATTCACACCCCAGTTTTGTATTTTTGAGCACCAGTACAATAAATTATTTCACATCTGTGATTTTTAAACCAACAACAACAAAACAACTGGGTAAGTATTTTAATTTGAAGAGACAATAGTGAATAGTGTTTGAAAGTGAATAATCATTAGCATCAATAGACTGGATTTATTTTATATGATAAAAAAATTAAATATTACAATTTATAATTACTGATATTTACATTTTTTTTTCATGAAAAGTTCAGATGACCCACAGTTGTAATAGTTTTTTTTTTTTTTTATGAATGAAAAGCATCTTATTGTTTATTGCAATTGCCAAGAACAACATTATACATGTCTTTACTGTCAAAGTTTCCATTTTCATTCTACATAAAACCCAAAACCCTGATTCTTAAAAGCAATCAAACTGACCCCATATATTTGCTTGGTAATACTTTGCACAAACACAAAATTTCATAATTTGATGTGCTAAATAAAGCACTTAAAAATGATTCATAAGATTAATTCAGTTGCAAATAATTTATTTGTGCTCAATTTAAACAAGTTTTTTTTGTAACACTTTATAATAACTACACACTAGTAATCTATTTAGCATTGACAAATAGTTAATTCATTATCTGTTAAGTATTAACTCTACATTAATAGACGCTAGTAAACAGTTTATAACTGCAGATACAAATGCTGTATTCTTGACTTATAAGAACATTTATAATGTGCTTAATGATCGTGTTTTATTTATTTTGTTAATTATTATTTTCAATACTAAATTAAGAATTGCATTATTTTCAAACTAGTTATTTGAGAGTAGTTGCTGGTTGTTAAAGACTATTCAGAATGAGTTAGTAAATGATATATAAACTATTCAAATTAACATTTATATGTCTGATTATTTAGGCATTTACTGATATTTACTTTTATGTTAATAAATGTTTTATTAACTTTAATTTGTGACCTAATCTAAAGTGAGGTCTAATCAGCAATGCTTAAACTTTACAGTAATTTAACTTTTTAGATAAGATTGCAAAGATGTATTATTCATTTGATACTGAGCCTTTCATTTTTATTTATTAGGGATTTATAAAGCATTAATAGTCCTCACTTTAGATTAGGTCACAAAAACGCAGGAAGTTGAGTTAATAAAGCATTTATTAACATAAAAATGTATTATTAGTACATTATTAGTAAAAAAACTACTCTTGAATAGAAATGATTTGTAAGTAACACAGTACTTAATTTAGTAATTAGTAATTTAGTAATTCAGCATTTGAATCTGCAGTTATAAACTGCTCACTAGCGTCTATTAATGTAGAGTTAATATTTAACAAAAAATGAATTCACTATTTGCTAATGCTTAATAGATGATTTATAGTGTTTAGTTCTTATAAACTGTTATTAAACTTAACTAGTTTGTTTAAATTCAGCCCATGTAAATTGTTTGCAACCACTTACCTTAAATGAATGAGTAAATGCAAAGAGTTTTTTCAGTTGTGAAAATCAGTTTTTCAGTAACTACCCTTTTAACTTTTACTCATTTAGCACATTTAGCTATTATGTTGTTTGAGTGCTGCTTAGTATACTCTTACTGTAAATCATGACAAAAATACTGATCAAGATATTTCCCCCCAGTGTGGTTTACTCTAGATTTCAGCTAAATCCTTTGCAATGAAGACTGTGATGTACATATAGACTGAAATCCAACAACTGCTGAAAAGGTAAATCTGTGCTTATTCGCCAACAACATCATCATGGTGGAGCAACAAATACGGCACCACAGAGTTTTGTAAAGGTAACAATGCTTGCACAGTGAGGGGTGTACATTCAAGATGTTTTCTTGCATTCAAAAACAGCTTGACAAAGAGAGCAGAAAAAAGTGCTGACAAGTTTTTAACTGTTGCTGCTGATTCTCTGTAGACACTCAAACTTTCTCTCTGTCTCTTTGTAAGACGCAAACTTGCAGCCTGGAGACAGTCTGTACTGAGAATCTGAAGACTCTGATAGTTTCTCAGAGATGTGTTGTACAATCCAGAGTTTGTAGACGCCACCAAAACAAGAACCTGATCTTTGATATACAGTAGTCAGTCTGTACAAGTATTGCGAGAAATGCAATCAGATGGGAGAGAAAGCCAATAATCTTACTGCTGCATGAAATAAAGTTGCAGTTCTAAAAAAATATGGGCCATTTGCAAAATATAGATTTTTCTTTACTTTAAAAAGTTTATATCTTGCAATTCTTTCCCTTCTAATTTTGTAAAAAAACATACACTACTGGTCAAAAGTTTAGGATCATTTTTTTATCATTTTTTTTTTCTCCAGAAAATTATTCTGTTTATTGAGGTGCCATTTATTAAATGTAAAAACGTTAAATTGTTAAATATTTATTACAATTTTAAATAACTTTCTTATTGTATGTAGTTTCAAATTAAATTACTACTCCAGTCAAATTGCTTTGATTACTATTACCATTAATAATAATGATGATAATAATAATAATAATAATAATAATAATAATAATAATAATAATAATAATAATAGAGTGATTTCTGAAGGATCATGTGACTCACTGGAATAAATTATTAAATTAAATTATAAACTACATGGAACAGTTATTTTATAGTGCAATAACATTTCACAATTTTACAGTTTGTACTGTATTTTTGATGAAATAAATGCAGCCTTGGTGAGCAGAAGCTTATTTTAACATTTAAAAATCTTACTGACCCCAAACTTTTGACCTGTATATTTTCAAAGATTTGGCAGTATTTTCCCAAATTAACCCAAGTTTTCTCATTTTAGGCACATATATTAATAATAACTTTGCTTCTCTTGAAGTTGAAGAAGTGTGAGATATAAACTGTGAATATTTACTCCCAGTTTCCATTTCACAATTCTCACAGTTGTATTAGATTGCAAAAACATCGAATCAGCTAAAATATTAAAAATGTGGGAAAAATATCCAAATTGTGAGATTATTATCTAATTTAAAATAAGCATATTAAGTACAAAATAAAAAGCTTAGAAAGAAAATGTACACCAAACCATGTAGTTGAATGGAGCTATTTGTGTTTTAAATACACATTATATGATCAAAACAATAGAAACTTTCATCAGTCCATCTCATCTGTCCATAATTATAAGAGGTGTTTTTCTGATTAATGTTCAGATGAATGGTTTTAAAATTATTTTTCTATAAAGATTTCATGTACAACCGAAAAATCATCCTGTATAGCTGAATGAAAACACATCATGTCTGTACGCCCCCTAAAGGTGAATGGAAATGCACATTAAAAAAGTTACAAGATTGCGCACAACTGTTCATCCTTTAATAGCTTGTCTCATTATTATGGTTATAGTACTTCAACTCACATTTGACTTGAAATGCAGGAGTATAAACGACTATTTATACACAACGTATTAAATGAATTTATGTATATGCAGGAAGAGAGTTTCAGGAAGGTGATTTGTTTCCACTCATTTATCTATTTATTTTTTGTAGTCCTCATTAAAACTCAAAACTTTTACTGTCTGGAAGAATTTGCTGAACTTTTGACTGACTGAACGAATGAAACGTTTGTGTTTTTTTACATCTCTCAACCAGCAGCAGCAGGTTAAAAAGGGATCTTTTTTTTTCTTGTTCTGGGCTTTCTGGGAAAAAATCATCACAAAAGAGCAAATCCAAGAATAACGAGTGATTCTCAGCTCCTAAAATCAAATAGTATATCTATTGTGTTTATGAAGAACATGCAATGCTAGTTTCAAAGATCAAAGTTTCGAATGATTTTAGACCAAAAAGATGACATGAACTTACTGTTTTATTATGCTGTTCCACATGTTTTTAACTGAATCGGTGCTGCTATTTGTTTTCTTGTTATTATAACCATTATGTTGTTTGGCCAACATTTTGGCCTAAAGAGGGTTGTGTACAAATGCGTGGGTGTGTGTGTATGAATATGTGTGCGAATGTTAATATTAGTATTGCATTATATTTTAATTGCTACATTATGTACACTTACGTCAACTAAGTGCAATATTAAAAAAGCCCAATATGGCAAATACAGATGTAAGTAACTTACCTTTTTTGTTTGATAAATATTACTTTTACTTTTATTTCGTTCTTTTCTATACAATACCACAAGACGACACTAATGAGAAAATAAAATGTCGTCTCTTTTTTTTTTTTTTTTTTTTTTTTAATATGAGCAGGGTTGGGGTTACGCATAAGCAATGCGAGTTATGTAATTTTATAACTTTTCTAAGTAACGAGTAAAGTAACGCATTACTTTTTAAAAATGAGCAATAATATTTGAGTTACTTTTTTGAAAATGTAACGCAATTTGCTTTTTAATTTATATAATTAGATTATAAAAAATAAATTGCTGAATTTAAATTAGTCATAATAAATCACGCTGTCAGTAAGAGAATGTGTTCATTATTTTGAACAGTAACTCAAAGTAACGTAACGCATTAATTACTATTAAAAACTAAGTAACGCAACTAAGTAACTTTTGTGGGGAGTAACTCAATATTGTAATGCATTACTTTCTTTCCCCAACACTGAAAATTCATTATTTTTCTCAAATACATATTTATGTTAACATTGGGCAATATTTCACCTACTAAGTTTTAGTTCTTCTTAAAGGTCTGGCATCATTTGTTTGCAGCTGATGTTGTCATATAATGTAAATACGTTTCAGGGTTGTGGAAAAACACTCAGTGGTGCCATAGTTTCTCTTTTTATGATTCGACCACAAGAGGGCAGAGAATCTCCACCATTGTTTTAAT